AATAGAGATTTTAATTGAGAATACGATAGTAAATGTAAAAATTAGAAAATCCAAATTTTAAAAAAAATATTGTGATTTTTCACATTTCTAGTCACTAATTCGGCATTATTTGCATGATTAGTCAAGTTTATAAAAGTTTTACATATACCATCGTATTCTCCATTAAAATCTCTATTGAATTGATATATCACATGTCAATATTTATAACGGAAACTATTCCCGATAAAAGTGGTCACTGCGGCCGAACCCGAGGTCACAGGACAATATAAATAAGATATTCGGACTCCTCGTCAAAAGTTCTATAAGAATAAAACATAATATCCATTATGCCAGCTTAGGACTAATTCCACCATTTGATCCCTACTCCTAAGTACAATAACAAAAAGTCATACACACAGTGTTACATACATGAGCCAAGTCATACAGTCAGTGTTACATAAATGAGCCCTAGCGGCCATTGAAAAACTGATAAAGATATGTTGTATAAGCGATACTAATCAACAAATACTGTAAGTATGAAATATTAAATATAATAGTTATCAATGTATAAAATAAATAAATAAACAAATAAATATGTTTGTTCAAATGAATAGACAACATGAGTTATTTTGACATGATCTATTACAGTACTGGAAAAGTTTATTGTTTAATATAACTATTATTCTGTAGGTAATATGTTATCAATAAATCAAAATAGAATCTTAATTAACTAGTTCATTTTATCCCCTCTACCCTGTATAATTCCCTTGTTATAAGGATTTGACATAATACCTACTTAGGGTTTTTATATTAATGTTTTAATTGCTTGTAGTAAAACACAGGTCATGTAAAAACAAAGGGCTTACTACAAATAAGTATTGTATAATCGTGGTACAATTACATTGAGATATAGTAATGTCTTAATGTATAATATTTTACGTTATTTAATAATTTTCATTTATTGTCATATTTATTAAAGTTAAAACATTTAAATTATATTTTCTTTATTTTGTATGAAAAATACTTCTTACCTTGCTACATTGCGATACACATGATATGCTATGTTTGGTGAATTAATATGAAATGGCATGCTCAAATATTATCTTAAAATTTTCTTATTACTTTACGCAAACAAGTATACATTACATTTTACCAAATAATTGTGTACTTATTTCTAATTACCAAGGAGCCTGTAATTTAATTTCGCGATTAATATAATCAGTAGGGGCAGTTACCCTGAATGTGAACTGTATACATATAATTAGGAATTAATTTAATTGGTGAGATTATTTTATCAATTACCAGAAAATAAGTTATTACAGTATATTACTTGCTACAATTGACAGCAATAATGATATACACGTGGATAATCACTATCTATTGTGTGGGATTGCACTACAGTTTGTATCCACACACACTCATATCGCATTCACATGTATATTATCTCATATATTGGTACACGTCAAAATCTCGAAAAATAAAATCTCGAACAACGAAATCTCGAAAAGTAAAATCTCGAAATACATAATCTCGAAAATTTTATAATCTATTTGGTAGGTATTTTATTAACTTTTAGAACATTTATTTTATGAAATATTTACAATATCGCTTTAATTCATGGATATAAATGAATAAATAGCCAAGAATAAAAAACTAACCAAAATAATTTTTAAAGTATTTTATAATTAAGATTTTCTATTTGGTGTTTAGTTTTAACTCATTTTATACACATATATGATTATATAATTATCCAGGTAATTAAAAAATAGATTTAAAACTTTCGAGATTTTGTGTGTATACATTGGTACACTATGGACCCATTATCTACCGGTATAAGCGTACCAGGATCGATTCACAATATTTAGTTTCAAAATTTATTGGCAATTATTAACATTACAAAACAATTTAGTAATAATAATAATATTATAAAAGTTTAATACTATTAGTATATAAATGGGTAGAAATTGATAAAATTATTAATTATAAATCAAGTGAATAGCTTTAGTAATAGTTTTATGATTGAAACTAGATAATTGCAAAATAATTGTAAAAATGATTCAAATAATTATCGTATTATCGGTGGTTATGTCTGCCTATGTATGCGACACTACATTTGATTGGCGGGACATAAATGTTGTACTACCCGTGCAAAAACAAGTATGTATAACTGTGATTGCAATGAAACATGTATCATAATTATAAGTGTAAATTTAATTAATTAATTATATTAATTTGATTACATATAATGAAAATATGACCTAGGATGCGTGTATGAATGCCGGTTTAATCAACGTGCTGGACATGATTAGCGCCTACCGTACTAACCAGACTGGCCTACCATTAGAGAAAATGAGTGCAGCGGAAATATTTGATTGTCGTATGTTATGACCATGCTCAAATTATCATGAAATTACATTATAATCCTTTCTAATAAATAGTATCTAGATACGTATATCATATAACTTATCATAACACGTATTTGTAGCATATCCAATAATTGAATTACCACGAATAATTAAATATACTAATTAGTAATGACCATGCTAACATTTAACTATAGATCCTGCGTGGACGCAATGTTTATCTCATGTGGACGCGTACGACGTGATTAGGTCTCTGTACACATACCAGGGCGAAACCAGGGCTATTAACGTGGAAAGGGATCACCCGTACATGTAATTTGACTGAGATTGAGGCCACGGGCTTTCAACTGCTTATAGCGGTGACGGCCGACCCTACCGTCAATCAGGAAAGCCAGTTGTCGCGCATGTTGGCAATGTACCCGCCGGTGGTGTTGATTAAGTCCCAGTCCCAGGTGTTTCAAAAGTACACTGGTGGTATCATGGACAGTTTTGAGTGCCAGTTCGGTCCCGTAGACCACAGCCTACTATTAGTAGGCGAGGGCTCCGACAACGGAACGGACTATTGGATCGCAAGGAATAGGTATTTATTTTCTGATAGTTTTATTCATGTATTCATTTGTGAATTGTTTTTGTGGTTTATTTTTATATATCTCTTAACTTTATACGATAGGCGCTCATTGGGAAAATTATCGATAGTCCATATTATAACCTTTAGCACGTAGTATATGATTGAAATGAACAGGTATCGATTAATATCGACTATCCCAATGAGCGCCTATCGTATAAAGTTAAGAGATATATAATAGTTATGGCGAGGAATGGGGCGAAAAGGGTTACATACGTCTGGCAAAGGGTGGGAATGTATGCGGAATTGGATTCGGATTCATTATTATTTTTGGTCACAAGGCCTCCCAGTTTGATCTGGACACTCAGGGTATCAAGGTGTCTGTCCAGATTTAAAGGGGAAGCTTGCCCTTTGACATAAATGTCCAGGAATTATGAATTATTGAAATATAGTATTATGCTCATTCACTACACAATTGTATGAATGATTCACTGCTTAATAAAAATAAACTGTAATTTCACGCCAAATATGAAGTGAATTTCAAATATAATTAAGATTTGTATAAAAACTAATAGAAATTGCGTACAAGATAAATAACAGTTACAATTAATAATATGTAATATTTTGTCAATGATATCATATAACCTTATAAACTATTGGCATCACGTTAAAATAATTATTAAAATACAATTATATAATATCTTATTAATACTATATATAGTCAATCTATTTCAATTCTAAACACTTTATAAATATAAAATATAGTTAAACTTATACAACTCTGAATTTGTATTATTTATTTTGCAAACTCTATAATTTCTATATACTAATATAATAATTAAAATTTTAAAATCATTAAATAATTATAGCTGATTTACATTCTAGGGAAGTAAGGTATTTTAATTTTAATTTTTCAAAACCACCATGAACTTTTGGGCACCCTTCTCTTGTTATTAAAATATAAAATAAACATTTATATGACATGTACTAGATTAAGTTCTAAATTATAGCTAAATACATTAAATTAGCTAATTAAGTTATTTTGGCCACCCGTATTTATATTTATAAGCCAGCAACGTTTATGGTGTTTATTAGCAATAGATTTGCGTGCATCCCTCGAGTAGGCCAATAGGCTGGGTGCTTGGTCATATAACATTTTTTGTCCAGCCTGGACAATTGCCAAATTGGTACCATTGAGCAACGTGATCGGGCATTGAATCGACGCTTTTATTACTAATATATTTTAATTGAAATATAATTAAATAGCATTAAAAAATAATTTAAATACCATTTAATATGGAATTAATCCCCGCATAAATTTCCGTAGTTTTTAGGATTTCTTTAGCAAATAGACGTAGATAAGTTAGAAATCGTATCAATATGATACCGTTAAGACCGATATTATTTTGAATATACTCTTTGCGACTTAATATTTTATCTACCTCTAACCGAGATTTGTCAATTTTTACTTGATAATTTTCTAGATTTTGTTTGAATTCTGGTTCAATAATGTCAAGGTAAGTTCGAATTTTGTCATATTCTTGGCGAGTAGTGTTCAAGTCTGTGTCCAAAACTCGTAATTTTTGTGCGAGCTGAACATTTTCATTTTTTAATTTGACGAGATCCATTTTGTTTTTCATTAATCTAGTTTTAATGTTATCCAACTTGTGACTTGATGAACATTTACGTAGTCGTTTTCGAGTCAATTTCAATCTATTTCTAGCAAGATGCAATTGCTTAATATTTAATAAAATTTGACTTCGCTTAAATATGTTAATTTCAATTTGCTTTGTTGTATCATCTATACGCTTTCTGAAAATTTGTAACCTTCCTAGATAATATATGTTAAAACTATATTAACTTGCAATCAACTTTATGAATTTGTTTACCAACCTTTGTTATATTTTAATTCAATTTTTAGGTTATCTTGCTTCAATTTATATTGCATAATTTTAGTCTCCAAAAACGCTTGTTTATCCATATATAGCGCTGCATCAGGGCCAATTATATTGAATATGCTCTCGGTGATCTTTGAAAATTCTAACCCCGATTCAATAGTCAGTCTATTAACTTGACTGCAGCACGTGTCCAACGTTTTCAAATTATCAAGGATAATTTTTCTAAAAATTTTTATATTATCTATATTTAATGAAATTAATTAAAATTAGTTTAATTTACAAAATAATTAATCATATCACCTTGATTATAGTATTCTAAATTGCAGTGATTAATTGTATTATTAGCGAGTACACTTATGATATTGAATCCTTTTCGTATAATTTGTCTAGCCTGTGCCACGTGGAACAGTGTCCGATTTAGCATTTGCAAAATCTGAAAATATATTTTAACGTGTTATATAAATTATTATAATAAAATGATAATTAGTAATAGTTAATGGTTTTGGAAAATGGTCTTTATCATAAGTTTCAATGTTATCTAGTAACATATCCTAACATTAGACGGCGCTCTCATTAAACTTTATTAGCCTACCAAATAGTAAACTTGCTACTTAATAATAAATTTACAATGTAATTAATATTGTTTTAAGAAAAATTAACAAGGTTATATGCTACATTTTTCTAGATGAATAAAAATATTCGTATTATGTTCACAATTACTCATTGTACTTACAATATCGTTCCAGAATGTAGTTTGTTCAGTAGTATAAAAACTTTTCGGTCTATGTCCAGCTATCTTGGTTACATACTTAACGATTCTGTTTAACGTTTCAGATGATTCATCTAGTTTGTCGATGCCCATAAGATCTAGGTTAATATACTTGTTATAATAGCGTGAATTTACATTCGACTTCGGGATCGATATATTTCTGATCGATATTATACTAGTTTTATCGTTACACTCATCCTCGTCGTATAAATTGGGAATTATTTTATGAATGGCCATTTTATTTTTGAAATATTAAACAATTATTAATAATTAAAAAAAACTTTTTATAACTTTCATACTGACAAATTTAGGATACCTTTACGAATAGTTTAACATTAATGGGCCACACCCATATAACATTAATAATTGTCGTAGATAAAAATTTTATTTCTATATGCTTATAAACATACAATTCAACTTATTACAGATTATTACAACTTATGTCTAGACTTATAAATTTATATAACTTGCTCAAACATTAATTGCCACCAGACAAAACACCATAAACATATTAATATATTTGTCTATAATACTGACTATATAAATGTTGCGAACAATGTTGTGAATAATATAAAAACCTTGAAAATACATAACCATTCTTAAGCCGTTAAAAATTTTGTTATCTATGCTAATAATTATCAAAAATAATTTATTTCATTATACACTGCATTGCAATTCACTTGATAATAACCAGTGATTTCTACTTATTTCAAATTATATCGTTTTTTTAAATCCTTATATATCAAATTACTAATGGTACCTTATAACTAATGGTACATGTTTCACGTTTATTATAATCATGTTTACTTAGCAATTTTATTAAATGCCACATATTTTACTTAACTACACTTATTGATTCAATATAATTGAGACTTATTCACTTGAAAATTGAGACTACAACATTATGGTCTAGACACACATTGCACACGTGTTCAAAAAAAAAATTTTTAAAACTAAATCGTGTATGCAATGTGAGACAGGTTACAATTTTATTTGAAATAAATCAGCACACTATTAGATAATGAGTTTTAAAATTGTTTTAATTAATACTATTTTATCGTGGTTAATTTTAAATAAATAAGTGTTATTAAAAAATAAGCATGAACATAAACTACAAACTCAAGGTTCACTATGTGGAATTTTGTTTATGAGATGTCTAATGTTGCATTTTTGAGGGTTAACGGGGTGATAATTATCTACCTAATAGGCGCCTAAACGGCAGTCACGTAGACGATTGAATAAGTGCCTAATGCCGCCCACTTGGAACACAATTATCGTATAAAACTATGTATGATCATGTTTGATAAAATATTTAATACAAAACAAATATATTCATTTAAGTTATATATATTTTAACAAAGGCTCTAACTAATGAGTTGAACAAAAAGTACTTGCACTGTAATTTACACGTTAGATGTTCAATTAATATTAATCCAGAAATATAGTATTTTCCCAGTTTATTCAAGGTCATCATTTTCTCTGTAATTGATATATTTGTCTAATAACATTTGAAATTATATTTTACTAATATATATTTAATGATTAACATTTGATATTTTAGTTGTCCTTAATCATATGTATTTTAATGGATTTCTATAAAAATCAAAATTTTGTTTATAGAGATTCCAATAAACACTCAAAAACTTATCAACAATTATTTATTACAAAACAAATTCATTAAGATCATGTATCGGCACTTTTCGACGCTATTTCCAATTGTGTACTTAAATTTCCTCTAGGACATATAGATTGACTCTTGAATAGATAACAATCTTCCTACTATACCTCTGTAGTACCATAGCTGTCTTCAAGAAAAAATATCATTACAAAACAAGGATTAAGGATTATTTAAGGATAATATTTAAGGATTATTTTTATTTGGACAAGTTTACAAGTAAATTTCAGTACAAGAACTTTTTGCGCAACTCATTACGTTAAGTGATTTAATAGATAAATAAATTTATAATGCATATTTATAATGTATCATTATCATACAAGGTTTGGCAGGACATTCGATACAAAATAAGATCCTAGTTTAAGTTTTTAAAAATTGTTAAATTTACAAAAATGGTAATATTTAAAATTAATGTAAAAAGTTTTAAATTTTGGATTAGTTTGAAATTAAAGTTTGGAAACATAAACAGAAACATTTAACCACTTATAGACAAATCAATGTGGTTTTGTACAAATAAACTTACAATTTATTCCACTTACAAACAAACTTAAAAGCAAATTAAGCGATGTTTTTGTAAGAAAAAATTATAAAAATTTTGAATTTTAAATAATTTTCTAATACATTAAAAATGGATATTAGTGCCTATTTAACGAATACTATAACAGTTGTGATAAATTTTAAGTTAAGCATAATATGGGAATATGTCATTTTAGATAATTATTTTGTAGGTTATAATTTTAACATTCAGCACCATGCGGGGGGGAGGGGGTTATATAGATTGTATATAACGTGATTTAAACCTTATGGAATCTCATATCAGTATATATATAAACTCTTAACGTATAATAAAATAACCTTTTTTTGCTAAACAAAACTATTTTACATTAAACAGTAAAATGGATGATCTCTACGAAGAGGACGAAAGAGAGAATGGAGGGTCGGGTCAGGTATCGACAACGACACCGGGAACGACACTGTCGACACTGACAGAAGGAGTAACTGTGTCGTTGGAGGAGCTGATGACAATTCCGCCAGATCAATTGACTGCGATTTCTCAGCAACAAAACATATCGATCATCTCAAAGATGATACAATTGAGAGATAATCTGAAAGAGTGCGATGAAATCGTTGTGAACGCGTTCCGGGTGTCGGACTTCATGCCAAACTGCGATACGCCAGAGCAGGAAGAAGCGTGGAAGGGAAAGGTACGTTTACTAAGCTAACCAGGCAAACTAAACCTTGATTGCTAAGTAATTGCACATAATCTGATTGTTTATGGCGCGCTTAAGACTTAATTGTTGGGATCAATCTATGGGTTCATTTGTAGTCTATTTTAAGTGAGGTATGTGCTATGGGTGCAATAATTCTATTAAGCTAATAGTGGACAGTAAATAAGATATTCACAATTAATGATAAATATCCTACAAATGGACTCAGATTGATCCCAACAATTAAGTCTTAAGCGCGTGACAAACAATCAGATTTTTTGCAACTACTTAGTATTCAAGGTATATTATGACAATTAAAAAGAACTAGCTCGATTAATCTGGATGGGCCCATGGTAATCTCTAGAAATATGCTTTTTAAACTTTAATTATAGCATATATTGTATATTAATATGTTATTGCTACAGTACAATTATAGTTTTAAACGTATATTTCTAGAGATATTCTGCACGGGGGTATCCATATGTTCTGTTTCAGCCATACTTAGGTTTGAGTTGGCAATTACATTTTAATTACTAAAATACTCTACTAAATAAAATTTGATCTAGATAGTTTTATTGCTTAGATAATGCCAGTATTGCTAAAAACGATTAACGAAGATGTCGTCGCCCGATGGGTAATGACCGACTGCTTTACGGCAGTTCAAGTGCTCGCGGTCACCATACAAAGTGCCTATGAAACTTTAAGAACCACCAGAGGTAATTAAAAATGTTTATTTTAGTAAATTTTTTACCAGTTATTTAGTTTGTCTATATAAAGGTTCTACCACAAAACTACATGCAATTAATATTATAACTAATAAATAAAGTTAAATTTAAACTATAATTAATTAACTAATATAACGGTGATGCAGGCAATAAATTTTAATCGTAGGCTATCAAATAGTATAAGGAATTTATTAAGCCACATTGTATTTCTGATTATTAAATTGTATATAAACATTTTGACTACTGACCATGAAAAACATAATTTTGGATTTATAAATATATGTGATTATGTTTTCTCTTAGGTGCCTAATCAAGATGCTATTACATTAAAATGACCTAGTTGACTAGTTAATATACAGTGTTACAAATAGTTCTTTGTAAAGTTTTTGTAGTTGGAACTTATAAAATTACAGTTGACACATATTATATTGTTTATCATTGTAACTCTGAGAAATACATAAGATTACCATATATCTATCAATGATATATAAACTTGATAGTTTTTATAATACATATTGTATTAATAATTTTGAACGCTTATAAAGACTTGTTATAATTTAAAAACTATTCTAATTAAAGGTGAAAAATAAATAATTTTTTATAGGCAGTCAGGAAGGCATCGATATAGTTAAGCGCCGGATACCGGAGGCAATGGAAAAAATAGAAGACTGCATCGCTAGAGCCAAAACCTTGACCGGCAATGGAATGCAGCAATTTAAAGAAAGCATCGGGATCGTAATGGATTTGGCAGGGAAGGAAGCAGGCAAAAAGGTAGACGAACTGGTGGGGTATCATGATAAAATCAACATTGAGCTCGAAAAAAAGAAAGATTTTCTTTATAAATTATCCAAAGACCAGGGTTAGTGTAATAAAATTATCATGGTTGTGATATTTTTTTTAACAGGATGATTCTTATTCCAATTAACGTGTGATGATAGGTGATCAGTTACGCTACGAAAATTTGAGGAATGTGGTTGTTGCTAAACGGGACGCGGTACTAAAGGAGCTTAGTGAAATTGAGCGACAAAAACTGGAGCTAAGGGATATGAATATGGAAATAAATAAAAAAATACAGAATATTCCGGAAAAGGTTACGGAACAGCGCACGGTTAAGTCAACTCAGAAGGTCCTTTGGGGAATGTGGTCGAGGAAAGGGTCAGAGGTGATCGATGTAGAGGTACGTCATTTATCATACCATATGGTTTTCATTATCAAAGTAGAATAAGCCAATCAAATTTAAGTTATACAATGAACCCGCGTTAATGATTGAGAGTGGGAGATGGGCGTGGTACAAACCAAAATTATTACCAAATTTATTAAGATAATTTTTGTGTAATTCTGGGTAGAAAATAATAAATATTTTTAATATTTAATCTTAACAATAGTAAATATACTTGCTTATGTACAAATATTATACAACACAGTTTATTGTCTTAGGACAATATTTTTTGGATTAAATAATAGTTAATATTTATCGCCCAGATATCTAAATATGTTATATAATTATCTATCTAGGTGACAAATCCGAACAAGGAGGATGATAAAAAATTCTACACAAGCGTCATCAACGCACGGGCCAACCTCATCGCCCGGGAAGACGGCACCGTTAACTCCAAGGCCGCGGTGCTCAAGGACTTAAACGAACAGTACGCCCAATACTCGGACGCGTACGTGAAGGCGTCTGCCGCCGTCGACGCAGCCATGAAGGTGAAGGACGAAGTGGAGCTTAAAATCAATAAGAGCCTCAAATCGTATTACAAGGACATCGAGGACACAAAAAAGGAGGTTGCCCAGCTGGAGACCAAGTTTGGCCACCGGGGCGAGTCGCTTGTCAACTGTCTGACGCATGTGAAGTCGTTCGGCGCGAGCATGAAAGAGGGCGCCTCCGCATACTCGCCCATCTATCAGATGCTGGAAGGTAGGGGTTTTAATTTTTAAGTGACCATGATATAGATATTTAAGAGGTTGTCTATGATTTGACCTACAATACCTAAAATACTAAAATATTAACGGTTCCTAACATCGAATCATTGCATGTGATATATGGTTGGAATCAGCTCAATGAGTTGGTTAAGAAATTCACTTCTTAATCTGGATGAGCTAATATTCCTCCATGGTCAAAGAAGATAATTCTATTTAATTCAACTAAAGAAGATAATTTCTTAATCTACTCATTGAGCTGATTACAACGATATATCACATGCAATGATATGATCGTCGGAACCGTTATAGATTGGTTAAAATTTTAACATTATAGTTATCGTAGGTCAAATCAACATCAACGTATTTAAGAATATTGACCGTTTAGAGTAGATTACGAGAAATGAAGTAAAACACCCGTGTAATTTCAATGATAAATATTGGTAAAACTGTGAAATTAAATTACTAATTTATTTTGATGAATTGAGATAGTTAATAGTTTATTGCCACAATTGGGCATTACCCAAATACAATTCAGTGAAAACGGATTAAAGATTGAATTATCCCAGCAAAAGTTATTTAACTTTTCCCGACCCGATATAGATTTGACCATAATTGTATCTCATACAATTTATTATTAAAATCAATAAATTAAAAGCAAAAATAAATGCATTCCAAATTTTAGTTCTGCATAGTACAAAACCAGAATATTACCAGTTTCAATTTTTAAGCTTAACAATTTAGATACTGTTTATAATTTAGATTATATTATATTATAATAATAGTATCACGTTTATCTAGTTATTAAAGCCATGGCCCTCCAGCAAGTTGATTTGCTTCAAAGTTCGAATCCAGCGATGGTGTTTGTGAGTGGTAAAGTGTTAATGCAGCAAGTAGATTTTATGTCCAGATTTAATATTGTCGCCATCGAAGCATTCAAAAAGTCCAAGAACTACACTGAGGTCTCAAATGCAATTGAGCCTAATTTACAAATGCTTAATATTAACTAAATTACAGCTATTAAAACCGTCATGCTTATTTCGATTTTTAAAGTAAATTGAATTGTTGACAAATGTATTGCTGTTATTTTTAAAATGCGATAATATTTTAATTAAAAATAAGTAAATAAACTACTACCATTTTAATACAGAAATTTTAAATTTATTAAAAATCTAACAAATTATGTTTATACAAGATTATAAGATTAATTAAAAGACATTTGATTACCATGGTCCATATTGGCATAATTAATTTTTGAACAGGTGAAAGTGGTTAGGATATATTGGATGTTACTTATGGTGGATGCATGTAAAATAGGCTACTAAAGCCATTAAATTAACATTAATATAATTTATTATATATGAAATCTATTCAATTATTTAAAGATCGATTTAATATATTAAAACTAATATTAAAAATACAATTATAAATTAAATGAGTTTATAAGCTATTAAGTTTATTTAATCAATTATTACACAACTGTATTAACATAACAGTAAAAGTAATCACAGAACCAATGAATGAAAACAAAAATTTTAAGTCAATAGCAAATACATTGAATGCCATGTATTTGTTCAGGGTATAATTGTTGAAATTCTGATTCATTATAACTTTTAGCAGTAATTCTCGTGAACTCATTGCAGACAACATGTGATGATTACTGGACACCAATTCATTGACAGTCGGTCTATGAGTTTGAAAGTAATTGTTAGCAGTAATTCTCGTGAACTCATTGCAGACAACATGTGATGATTACTGGACACCAATTCATTGACAGTCGGTCTATGAGTTTGAAAGTAATTAATTGCCAATAAATATATTAAAATTAATATTACCATGATTGTAAAGTCATACGTATTCCATAGTATATAAATTATTTTAATGTCTTTAATAATTACTATTTGTGTCAATCGGAGACAAATACAAATGAATAGTTCACAAAACCATAAAAATGAGAAAATTCCCAAAATATCATTTATAGATGTTTTCAAATTATTTATTAATATTATGGTTGTCTCTAAATGTTCAAAACTATTATTAAGTATAAAATTGCCTGATGATAACAGTCTTTTTTCCATTAAATATATGTCATAACACATATTAATTAGAAATAAATTGATGGTAACCACCCAGATATTTATGATCCATGTCCAGCACATACATTCAAATATATCTATAATTAAAAAGTAATTTAAAGCCTTTGTAGTTAACACTATTGATATCTCGTTTAATAAAAACATGACCAGGCACAATACCGCCCATATTAAAATTAATGCTTTTGAGAAATATTTAGCCTGAACTTTCTCATTTTCATTTAAAGCATTGTTTATTTTGTAAATTAACAATTTTAATCTTGCACAGTTTATCTGGAAGTACATGAAACTAATTGCTATTATTATGAATTTGATTGTAGTTTGAAATAAATGCATTTGATATTTATAAATTATGTTTTGAATATATAGTAATAACCATAACCTATGAAACACAAAATATATTATAAGTGAATATAAATTTTATTATTAATTTGATTAAATATTTTGCAATTATAGCAGTATTTGTTTTATATTTAGGCAATACACTCTGGGACACTTTTGTAATATCAAAACCAAACGCATAAAATACATGTGAAAATGGATACACAAATAAATCTTTACTAATTATAGTACTCATTGTAAATTAAATAATATATTTAAATATACAAGTGAATCTCAAAATTTATTTTATGTTAAGTATTGTAAGTTTCTATCTATTAATAATAATTTAATTACTTATTATTTTATATTGAACAAATAACTTATAGCAACATTACAAAACGTAAATAAGTTATAATAAATGAAAACACATTTTAATAATCATAATGTGTTTACAAATATGTAATAAATTAAAATTAAATATTTATTTTTCATGTACATTAACATAACCGCTTGATATTAAACAAATTTTATTTGCTATCAATTTTACAAAAAAGTGTTTTCTTTTACTAACAAATTGTTTGATTAAATTGAGTTGAAATAAATAAAACTCAAAATTAATTTTAAATTTAATGTTTAGTATTATAAGTTTCTACTTATTATTTTATATTAAACAAATAAGTTATAATAAACGAAAACATATTTTATTAATCATAATGTGTTTACAAATATATAATAAATTAAAAATAATATTTAATTTATCTGGGACATTTATATATCTGTCTAATATGATATTAAACAATTTTACTCAATTTTATTCGTTAACAGTTTTACACAGTGTTTGTTAGATTAGATTGAGTTTGATTTTACAATGTTATTGATTTTAATTATTTTGATTACTATGCACAATATAATCAATTAATCAATATTATGGACAGAAATACTTATATAAAAACATATAATTAATTATTTATTACTTAACAATTGTATTAACATAACAGTGAATGTAATGACAGAACCTAAGAATGTGAACATGAATTTCATGTCAATAGCAAACACATTGAATGCCATGTATTTGCTTTGAGAATAATTATGGAAATTCTGATTCATTATAACTTTTAGCAGTAATTCTCGTGAACTCATTGAAGACAACATGTGATGATTACTGGACACCAATTCATTGACAGTCGGTCTATGAGTTTGAAAGTAATTAATTGCCAATAAATATATTAAGTTTATAAACAAAATCATTGCATTTTCAATGATAATCCAGAAAATCCATATAATTTCAATGTCTTTAATAATCACTGTTTGTGTCAATCGGATGCAAACAGTAGTGAATAGATCGCAAAACCATAAAAACGGAAAAATACCTAAAATATCGTTTATAGAAGTTTTCAAATTATTAATTAATAGTATAATTGAATCTAAATTATCAAATTTAGTGTCACTTTTGTTGTTTGAAAATCGCAGTCTTTTTTCAATAAGATATTCGGCATAACAGATATTAATTAGCAATAGGTTTATGGTCAATATCCATCCATTTATGAACCACGACCATAAAAATCCGTCAAAAATGTCAACAATTATGAATGATCTTGCTGGTGACACTATAATTGATAATTCATTTAATAGTGTATTCATTAAGCAAATTACAATCCAGGTTATAAGTAATAATTTAGAGATAAATTGTGATCGTTTTTGCTCATGTATTGTTAATGATTTCTTGATTTTATTAATTAAACAATTTATTCTGGTACAATTTATCTCAAAGTATAAGAAACTTATAGCAAGTATAGTGAGTTTAATAGCCGCTGATATTGCATCTAATATATCATTAAGTGTTATGTTTTCGTATTTGTGGTTATAAATAAAAAATATAATGACTACATACTTTATTATTTTCATAACATATTTAATAACTTGAGCACAGGTTGTTTTACGATTTGGTATAAATATATCAAAACCAAAACAATAGATAATATAAGTGAATGGGTATACAAATGAATTAATATTATTACTGGTGTTAATCATTATAAATACATATATTTCTAAAATTTAATTAAGAATCAAGTGAATATGTATTATATATTATGTAGTTATCTATCATATCTATCACGTATTTCTAATAACAAAATATAAATGATAGTAAATTTAAATTATTGTGAAATTAGTTTTAGTGTTTTTGTATAAATAAAATAATTACAAAATCATATGTCCATAAGAATTAATTTTATTTAATAAATATTTACATGAAAACACTTTTAAAATTAAATTATGTTTATAAATGTTTTATTGATATTTACATTTAACGAAATAAAAACAAATATAAATTAATTTTTTGAAAGTACAGGTAATATATATTTTTACCGTATTCCTGCGCAACCACCGGCATGCCGATGTAAAGTGAGGATGATGAGACTGCCGTTATACCCCGGGGTCTAACGGCATGCCGTAATAAGTGAGGTCTAAAATGTGTTTTTAATATTTTAAAAATTATTAATATTTTGTTATATAAATGCGCTAAAAATAAATTGAAACCAAATATCTTATTAATTTCAACATTATACTGTTTATTTTTGTTGTATATATAGATTTATGCTAAAAAGACATAAATATAAGTAAAATTAGCACTAGTATCGCTTTGGCTCAACCTTGTGCATG